GAGTGGTTCATTCCCAACGAGTCCAACATGCCTTGGACATCTTCAATACAGCTGGAACTTTTGGCCAGAACTTCATCAACACAAGCCAGAGCATACATCGAATGATATCAGGTTCTTCGGATTTGGTGCCCTGCATAACTCCAAGTGGGACATTATGGTCAATGCGACACAAAAGGTATTTGACAGGCCGTGATGTGCAAACAAAAATGGTTTCACATGTTTTAAATATTGGTTCCACAGCATTCCAAAAAATGCATGCCAATATGTTTTGGCCCTGAAACCATTCAGGAATTGAAAAACTACTATGTCAGAGCTTTCCAGTACATCAGTTGAAGCTGGCACATCTCACCAATGCCGATTCTTGGATTGAAATTTAATATCATAACCATAATGTGATCATTGGAAACTGATTTCATAGAATAGAAAGGTTCAATTCAGAAACAGTCTTGCTTGCTTGGCCAAGGAAATACACTCCCTCGCTGGAAATGCGTACCACGTCAAAGCAGTCGCTGCAGCATATGTATGTGCTCTGGCAATGTGCAGCTTGGAAAAATTCAATGCTGAGATGGACAAGCGTTTGCAGAACTGATGTAAAAACAAGCTGAGGGCTGAGGGTGTTGGGTTTCGTGCAACATACCAAAATAACATTTCACATCATTTCACAAGATCAGTTTCTTTGTTGAAAATCAATGCTGGCAGAGCGTGACACATGCTGCAATCAGTGGCCTTGCACTGTCACTTCGAAGTTCAAGCTGTCATGTGCACACTCTGATCAAAGAGCCTTAGATGTTGAAACGCTGAAAGTGCAACTTTACCCATGTTCACTCAAAAACCATTTGCGCATGAACTATATGTGACATGTTTTGGTATCATTTGGTATCCACATCATTACATGAAGAAATTGATTTTACTAGACTACATAGACTTTCTGCAATGTTTGCTCGCTATGATGCCCCTGATTCTGATGGATCTGAAGATTCCAATGGTTGTGGAAGTGGTGAGCCGTGCAGTGGGTCTGAATCTTCCTCTTCTTCAGTCAGATCTACGTCCGGCTTGATCAACAACATGAGGAACTTGACTTTGAACCAAGTTCTTTGCATGGAAACTACAGGGGATGGAGATCCTTCCCAAGCTGCTGCAAACGGCAAGAGCAGGGAACGAATCTTACAGGCCATGAAGAAACCATGCTGTCGAAAGAGATGCAAACGACTTCTCAACTTCAAGGTTATTTTTACCTTTTGTGTTGGATTTTGGAGTCTGAGCAAGGCTGGCCAAGATTGTTTGTTACTTGGCATTCTGCTTTGTTTCGTTCTGAAAAAAATATTATAACAGAGAAAACAACTCCAAGACTTCTTGTGATTTTCAGTTTGAATCCAAGGCTTTGGAGCTTACAGGCAAGTTGCAGACAAGATGCCGATGAATCTGAAGCCTCTAACGATTCTGAAAGTGGCAGTGGCAGTGAGGAAAGCTCCAGCTCTTCGTCAAAGACTTCCTCACGGTCCAGGTGGTTCATTGAAGGACTATAGGGGCCAAACAAATTGTGTTACAAAAATGTTGCAAAAATTGCTAGACTTCACCCTGCATTGCCCTTGACAGGTGTTCAAGTTTGTCGCACTGCATTTTTGCAGCTTCTGGGGATTGGTCGAGGGCGCTTGGCCCGAACCAAGCGGTGCTTTCGTGGAGAAGATGGCAGAAAATATGGCTGCTTGGTCTCTGAGACTATTTGCTCAACATATTCTAGATACATCTTTACACCATAGGACTGCCAACTGCCTTCAGCCAAATTGACTAAGGAGCAGGAGCTGGATCCAGCCGAGCAGCTGCTTCCGTACTGGAGTTTTTGCAGCATACGTACTGGAGCATTGCAGAGACTCTTCCACACGAGTGCCTTAGACGATTCAAATTCAGAAAAGGCGATTATCCCAACAACCACTTTTTTATGCTGCCTAAAGCGCCCAAAAAAAATCAGGTATTGTGTCTTAGTTATAGCTATTTTTGACCCATGACAGGTTGGAAGTCGGGGAAGGCAATTTTACAACTGAAGAAGGAAGGGCAGCTTTAGTTGAAGCTCTGGTTAGCTCAGCCCTATGTTCTGCCCCTGGGTTGGTGGAAACATCTCCAGACAAATTACCTCGGAGATACTTACCACCAGGAAATTTTTCAGACTTGTACCGGCTCTACACTGCAGCCTGTCATTCAGCAGGGCAACCATCAGCTAGCTGTTCTACTTTCTTTAGGACTTTGCGGAAGAGTGGATGGAGGAAAAAACTTCGTCATAGAGGAAAAACCACCCATGCAAAATGCAACCAGTGTCACATCCTCAAAAACAAGATTAGAAAATCGACCAGCCTACAAGACCATGCACGTGCAGCTGATGCATACCTCCGGCATTTGGCTGGTACTTTTGCAGATCGCAAAGCATACTGGGAAATGCGGCACAGAGCAGCACATAGGCAAGACCTTTTGGTTGCCATTCAAGACTCCATGGACAAGAGCAAATTCCGTCTCCCAAGATATGCTGGCGGAATCGTACCAAAAGCATTGGAGCAAAAAGTGAGACCAGAATGTGAAGTCACTGCGTGTATCGTTCACGGACGTGCCATCTTCATCTATGTGGCCGACCCCAATATGTCATTTGGATCTGATTGGTCTATCGAAGTGTTCTCCCGAAGTCTCCAAACAGCCTGGGAATTGTCCCAAAAACAAGGCTTGCAATGGCCGAGAGTGTGCAAGCTATTTTCGGATAATACTCCGAAGGACACCTTTGAAAACAATTTTTTGCTCAAGTCAGGTCTGTCCACACATTGCCTTCAAGACTGGTTTTAGAAAGATGATTTAAAATGATTTAACCATAAACTGACTGTAGATTGTGCAACCCTGTTTTCAATTTGTCGCCAAGTATAATACAGGCTGCCCTGGAATTTTGAAATCACCAAAATATGTTTTTCTGTTTACCCATAGTGACAGCACCTTTGTTTTAACATGTCTTTCAAGATATTCATCCATAGCCCATAGCCCAAGCATTCCTGGAGGAAATTAAAAACTCGCTGTTCGACCGATTTTGCAGCTACCTGACCACATGCCAAATCTTCGATATCACTTCCCACGAACATCTTGTTGTCGGACATACGCACGAGGACGTGGGTGCCCTTTTTGCATTAGTTTATCTTGGCAACAAATGATAGTTTGAAAATGTCCCATGTTCAGCAATGTTCTGCCTGGAATCTAAGATGCTCTATTTGGACTGATATCCCGACTTATCAAAGAAGGAGACGAAGATGTGTCATGCACTGAGTGCTTACCACCCTGAACGTCCCATCAGCCAAGCAACTTTGACTCTCTTGACTCCTGAGGCAATGTCCACAAGATATAGTGTCGCAACATGGCTGCACACTGTGAAGCTGTCATGCACTAGTTACAAGATGTGAGCATGCAATAATTCAGACAAAAGTCGAAACACTACACTGCTTCAGGTTTCTGAACAACAAGCTGACGAAGCATTTCGAAAACAAGGGCATGTTCTTTCGTGCCAGCTATGTCACTGCCGTCCGAGACTGGTCAGGCAATCTGGAAAACTACACCACAACTTTTGGGGCATACAAGAAACGAGCCAAAGATCAGAAAGAAGTTCCTCACTCCTTCACATTTGTGAGAAGGGATTGTTTCTAGATTGCATCTTATTGCATCTTATGTCAGTATGCATAAAACATGGAGATACAGGGACAGCCTACCTTTATCTAAGGCTTGCCTCGGCAATTGGTGGATTCTGCAAGCAATGCTTTGCCACGTCGGTATGCTGATTCCCCTGCTGATGTGTTTCTCTTGATTAAGGGATTTGTGAGTGATCGAGAGCTTTGTCAAGAACCCTTACTGGTATGGCCTGGATGTCGTGCAGGGGACAGCTTTCAAACACTGACTGCACTTGCCAGAAATGAGGTGAATAGTTTCTTGTCTCAAATTTTCATGTCAAATTCCAAGAAGTAATGTTTTACCCATTCTAAATTCTGAATGGTTTGATGTCCCCACATGAAATTCTGTGGTGGCCTTTTCAACCATCCAAATGAGCCAAGCTTCTCTTGAGGCATGGCTTGCAATCTTGACGACGAGCGGAAGGAAGTACTCAAAGAGATTGCAGAATTCCTCAATGACAATTATTCTCAATATGGGCGTGGGGTGGCCTATCTCCTTCAGTTGGCTGGGGAGCGTGCAGTACAAAGAACTCCACCGCCCCAGCTTAGTTTTATAGAGAATAGCGATTTTGGTGTGCAACGTGGGGGGTTGGTACTGGGAAACCCAGAACCACACGTGTGGCACACGATGAGAGTTAGGTTTCACAGATGTTAGATCTCAACAAATCGGTGAAAACATTTTCAGTCAGTTTTGATTCACTGATTCAACCAAATGCATGCAGTGCTGACCAAATCAAAGTGTTTCAAACCCACATCATTTTGTCGTTTTCATGTTGAGTGAATGCAGCGGTTTTCCAAAGCAGTCGAACGGCAGTTTCCTGCCACCGTTGTGGCATCGATGCTTCATGCAATGGATGCAGTCAAGCAAGAACCTTCTGTACCTTGTCCATCAGTTTGTCTTGAGACATAAAACGCAGCTACCCTTACCATTAATGCCATCTTCATCGGCCAAGCAACTGAGGCAGATGAGGCCAGCCCAGCAAGGAGTGACAAATCCTTGACCATTGCCGAGAAGCTGACTTCAAAAATGGAAGAGGCTCGGGATCACAACACTTGGTGATTCTCACAAGGCTAGTATCACAATCGAACATAATAAAACCATGTAAAACCAGCATCATAACACTTGAGTCTCTCATTCTTGGCCAGATCTGTGCGAATCAGAACATGGGCCGCTGGCTTTGGTCAGAGCTTGGTAGTGAAGAAGGCCAAAAAGTCTTCATCATGGTATCTTGGATGAAGATTTGACTTGAAATCGTTTTGAACTTGCTTTCAATTTATCAATCAAAGTCGTTTTTGAATCTATCCTAGGCAATGTCTGGCATCTTCAACGTGAAGTCTGTCAGCAAGCTGGTGGAGAATCATGTGCAGCCTGTGCTGCAATCTGTGCCGGTAGCCTCCAAGGAGTTCTATCTGTCCCCATGGAGCTTTGATTTTTCAGAGCAGTCGAAGTATGGGGAAAAGGGTAGGTTCCCAACGAACTTGCAGTTCAAAGCACACTTTGGCAGCTTCCTGCGCAATGGTTACGAGTCAAGTCGCGAGCCAATTGATGTGCGATTTCCTGAGCAGGGAACCACGATCGAACCGTTCAGTGTGCAGTTTGTGGATGGCCAAAACAAGATGTTGATCATCCAGTCCATCTTAGCCCTGGTGGAGAGCTGCGAAACTTGGATGAAAGAATGAACCCCCCATTCCTGGTAAACAAACTTGCAACTCTTTAAGATCAAGGGTGTGAAGAAGACACCTTTTCACTGGCAACCTTTTTGTTTGTTTTGTTCCTTTTTTGGGGCCCTGTGCTCTAAGGACATCAAACCCGAGGAGATTGAGGAAGACCATCACTTTGCTTCAGTGCTGGCGAGCTTCAGATACATCAGATGCAATTTCAAGAAACATTCCCATGCTGAGCTTTACATCTATGAATCCCTGAGTCCAAAACCTAGAACCAACTGGGGTTGAAAAACTGACATTCCAAATCATGTATTCGAATTTACTTGGATCAAAGTGAACAGATCATTCTTCACAGCTTAGGTCTTGCAAACCGCAGAGCGGAAAAGACAAAGCCTTCCTGCTTGGACTTTGTGCTTATCTTCCGAGAAGCTGCTCGAATCAAGCGGCAATCTTCTCCGCACTTGAGCCTGCGAGACTGTGTGTGGAATGCAGTTGCAGAGTACAACAAGACAGTCAACAAGGACTTGTTGTTGAAACATCCCATGTTGTTTTCAAAACAGTTCCCATCAATTCCCTTAGTTTTTCTATTGGGGAAGAATTCAAGTCCCTTTGAATGATTCTTCAACGTGTTTGGAACGAACCCTGAGAACTGGCGAGTCAAGGATGATCTTCGCAGGTTGACATACAACCTCATGAGGTGTCCGCCAGAACTCTTGGACATCATTAGCAGCATGTATGAGTCCACCAAGCCAGAGCTGGCAGGTCTGATGTTGTAAAAACATGTCATGTCATGGTATGTAATGTAATGTCATGTCATGTCTGTGTGAAAACCAACATGTTGAATATTCCCTGCATCTCCCTGTCAGCTATGTGCATCGAAAACATGGACGGTGACTATTACGTCCCCGGGAGCAAGCCAGATGGTGCAGAGGGTATTTGGAAAGAAGCCCAGGCTAGGTGCTGGTGAATATGTTATATTTTAAAATAATAATAAGTAAACCTAAGTACAGTTTCTGACTGTTCAGAATCTTGTGGTTTTTGTTCCCCTTGATGCAACAGGAAGCTACTGATGCAGCTGTCTTGAATTGGGCTCATCGAGTGCAATCTGACTACAACCGAAAGGCTCCAAAGAATTCGAGCTCAAAGCAGAAGGCTCTGAGATTGAAATCACTATTTTGGGTATCTGTAGTTTTTTAAACTATGTTAAACTGATGTTACCATCTTGAAATATCATCTTTTTGTTTTGCCAAATCCCTGGCCAGAAGATGGCTCAGCGAGACTCAGCTGGGCTTCAAGATTTGTTCAGCCTGGCCTGCTTCATGACATGGCTGGTGCCCAAAATGGAGGTGCAGCTTGGAGCAGGCTCCGAGGTCTTGTCCAAGATCATGGAGACATGGGAGCATGGGTGCCTTGGATGGTGCAATGTGGGTGAGTGAATCACAAAAAAACGCAACATTCCAGCATGTGTGATGTTGAGGTGTCAGAGTAGTGTGGTTTTCAAATTCCGCACTACTTTTGCTTTATTAAAAAAAAAAAATCAACATAATTGGATACCCCAACATAAAGGACTTTGAATTTCCCTCACCTCCGAAACCATATAGTTTGTACTGTGGAATTTGAAAACCGCGCTACTCTGGAACCATAACATAGCATATCCCAAAATGTAGTGTTTTTTCTATTTTTACTCATAAGTCCAAAAGAACAGTCAGAAAATGTCAGAAAGAAATCCTGCCAGCTGCAAGCCACTGCAGCGACTAGGAACCAGACAAAGTGCAATACTTTAGAACTGGGGCAGAATCAAGTGCAACATTTGAGGAAAACTGCAGCACTTGAGCAGTAGGGCTGACTGAAAGAAACTGCAGCACTTGGGGAGTAGGGCAAAAAAAAAAACGCAACACTTGAGGAGTAGGGAAAAAAACCGCAACACTTGAGGAGTAGGGAAAAAAACCGCAACACTTGAGGAGTAAGGCAAAAAAAAACCGCAACACTTGAGGAGCAGGGAAAAAAAACGCAACACTTGAGGAGTAAGGCAAAAAAAAACCGCAACACTTGAGGAGTAGGGCAAAAAAAAACCGCAACACTTGAGGAGTAAGGCAAAAAAAACCGCAACACTCGATTCAAGGAGCGGAGAAAAACCGCAACACTCGAGGAGTATGGCTGAAAAAAACCGCAACACTCGAGGAGTATGGCTGAAAAACTGTAGGCTAGAAGCTGTAAAGATAAAGAGGAAGGTTTGAAACTGTAGGCTACAAAGCTGTAGAAGTTGCAGGCTGGAAACTGTACATAGACTAAAAGCTCTAGTAGCTGTAGGCCTAAGAACTAAAGAAGAGGAACATGAACAAAAACAACAAAATTCTCCAAGGACTGCAGCTACTGCGAGCACATTGCCAAACACCAAGACAAACAAGGGGGATAAACCATTTCAACTGGGGATTCGAATGCTAAATGATAGCAACTGTGTTCCTTGGGCCACCCCAAAAAACATCTCCCAAACCACCAAAAATCAGAAGAACAGGCTACACATCATTTGCTGATTGTATGCTGCTTGTATTGACCTGTGATCTCATTGGATATCATCATGGAGGAATAATGAGGTGAATGTATCCCAAAATAAATATGGGGCTGACCCAGAATACATGTGCCCATGGATGCCCCAAGACTCCTTTTTTTAATTGAAAAAATGATGTGTGGGGCATTCATTTCTTTCCTCATTATACCCCAAGCATCCCCAACCTATCTTTGGATATTTCAACATATCGTGACGTTTGGGCAAACAACTTTGGTGCATTGGGCTATTTGACTAAAAACCCTTTTGGGGTAACATAGTGTTGCTCCTGTCAGTGCTTAACTTGTGAATGGTTCTGTGTAGGTTCATTCATTAAACACATTGCCATACAAATTCCAATGGCAAGATTTACAGGATGTTGACTCCCCCATGGTACTGCATGCCAAGCTGTTAATCTTTTCTGAAGGTCAACCTCCAAGTGGGCCAGCTTCTTATTTGGGAACATTTGGGGTGCAGTCGATAAACATCATGGACCCGGCAACATGGCAAATCTCCACTTGGGTTGGTTCACCAAAAAAGCCCCCCACAAGTCCCCCCAAAAAAGTGTTTTCCCTGAATTTCATGAACGATTTTGGGACTTGTGGGGGGCTTTTTCGGGGTGGACCAACCCAAGTGGAAAATTAGCACAGCAACATCTTTGTTGGTGCATGCGTCACAAAAAAGTCAAGAATGTCCAGTGTCAAATCTGTGTTCAAACTAATTGCAGAACCAAACTGACATTCTTGAAAGATTGTAACAGTCGGTCTTGGGAACTCCTGTGTGCTTCTCATATTCATGCAGTGTATTTCATTTTTACAACATGTACCAACAATAAAAACAATATAAATTTATCATATATTATGATATCATATGGTGACTCAAAATATTTACAACATATATCAACAATAAAAACACAATATAATATATTATGATATCATATGATGACTCATAATATTTACAACATATACCAACAATAAAAATACAATATACTATTATCATATCATAGGATGAAACATAATATATTATGATATCATATGATGCTCCACTGATTGGGCAATTTTTTTCGATCAACTCCAACTTGGCATTAGTGCTGCTGGGGGTACAATCCCAAAAACATTCCAAGTGCCATCAGTGCTTCCAAAGTCCATCCTGCTCATTCGTCAAATCCAGTGATACCATGCACCATCAGTGCTGCCATGTGCTGCCAAAACCAAATCCTGAGTTCAATCGACTAAGGGCCCTGGACTCTGAATTGCGGGCACACGTGAAGGGCAACGATCCCTCCTTTGACATCAACAAGTTGGCGTTTTTTGCAGAGGCCACAGGAACAGTTCAAGAGGGGCACATTTTGGAGGCACAAAATGCTGTTGCCAACGCGCGGAAAAGCTCCCTACAAGCTGGATTCAACCTCTTCCGGACTTCGCTGGGCAACGACCAAGTACTTCATGAACGGCACTTGGCAGCTTCAAAGACAGATGAGGCAAAAGCCCGCAGTGCAGTTCTGGGTTCTTTAGAGGCAGGTTGGGTAATAACAAATATGTGATTGGTTGCTGTGAGTTTTGGTTGTTGGATGGTTAAAAGCCTGTGACCCTGACAGAAAATGCACACCACAGCGTGGTCCCTGGTCCAGACTTTTGCCAGTGAAAATCTTCCTACGTGGAATGCTGCCCCAAAGAAGGCACAAGGCCTGGGTAAGGAAAATGGTGATCAATTTATGTTTTGAAAATGGTGACACTTTGTAGGAAAATGGTGACATCTTCACTCCAACAATTTATGTTTTGTCTAAACCTAGGTTTGCTGGGTGAAATTCAGAAAATATCATCCCTGAGAATGTCCCTGTTGCAGATGGGGAAAGAGAGAAGACCATCAGTGCTATTTCAGCAAAGGTGGTTCCATGGGTTCAAAGCACTCTGATGAACTGCGCAAGTGGGGTGCGAAGATCAGAGTCAGAGCGGATCATCGCATGGTGCAATTGCGTGACTGCGGGGGTGCTTTCAGCTGGGAAAACGGAGTTCGCTGTGAACACCATCACGTCCATGGCTCACAGCAATCCACGTCAGTTCGTGGCAGTGGTGGTGCTTCCCAACCGATCGGGTGACCTCAGACTTCCGACCAAGTTCCTTGATGTATTTATGTTTTCTTTGGTTATTTTGTTTTTGTGTGACTTTGCTTCTTGTCTCTAGTGGTGTCACAGCTGCCAACTTTGCTCAACAGGGGGGGGGGCAACACTATTCCTTAGGCAAGAAAAGCAGGAGGAAGACGATGACAATGACTTTGAGGTCAAAGAGTTAGGACAGCTTCACGAACCAACAAAGAAAATATCAAGCAGTTGCCAGTTGGGACATGTTGTTTGGTTAATCTTCCATGGGGGATCACAAACTAACCCTGGAGGATCGATGGACGCTCACATGGTAACAGTCGAGGATGAGGATGACGAGGATGACAAAAAACAGGATTCGGCTGAGTTAGTGCTGCATGAGTTTGTGTACAAGCTCAAAAGCTACTTCTTGGAATCTGAGAGAGCTCTGCGTGTACCTGGGTTACTAAAAAAATGAATGGTGTGTTCATACCCATTGTTTCCAAGCATGTATTTTTCAACTCTGAGATTCCAATCCTTATCATCCTTAATGTTGAAATTAAGCCATGAAACTTGTTAAAAATCATAGCGTAGCAAGACAACATCTTGTGCAGAGTGGCTTCCAACATCAAAGAACTATTATCAGGTTAGCATATTATTCATCGATTTTACTGGGTCAAGCTCACATGGATACTTTATGATACTTTAATCCTTTAGTCTTTTGGTGTTAATGGAAATATCTAATAGCCATCAAAGATATTTATGCGGGGTATCTAAGATGAGTAATGTTTATTATATAAATCGCACAGTCTCATGTCTCATAACTGTGACTGAAGGTGCGCAACTGCAGCATGGTCTTTGATGAGAACACAGTGTATGGAAACCGTGCTGGGGTCCATCAGTGTTTGCTGGTGACATCCAACGACAAGAACAACGTCTTCTTGAAGAGCAAAGCTTGGAAGACTGGGGTTGTTCAGGGTGCAGCCATGCTTCCGAGAGCAGACATGCTGAAGGTGGAGCGATGCAGCAAAGGCTTCGCCTCAGAAGCCCGTCTCACGAGAGTCCAGGAGCTCAAGCAGGCTGGTGTTCAAAATGGCCCCACAAATTTGCACCACTAAATTATATTATATTATTGAATAAATGAGTCAGGTTCACAACAAATTAATTAATGATAGATTGTTCCACAATGTTCCAAATATATCCCCATGACCAACTTTCAACTGTGATGCGTTCCATCCTTGGCTTAACTTGGCTTCATTGTTTTTTTGGATTGGAGTCATGAATTAGGTGGGCACAAGTTCTGAGTAAAAGGTGACCATCCGATAAAGCAATTCAGCATAATTCAGCCATATGAGGGGTGGTTGGTATAAAAACATTCAGGTAAGGGTTCAAGAAACTTTGCATTCCTGGGTAATAGAATGTTGTAGCCAACAATATTAGATAAAATCTAGTGTTCAACCCTCTCAGCACATGGCCGGGATCAGCGTTGTGGAAAAGATCATTGGTTCCCTCACCGATCCTTCGGACAACTACAACATTGTGGTGGACCTCTTGGGGTTTGATGGGTGGACGGCAGCATTCGCCCTGAATGAGCTCTGCAAGGGGAACAAGTGGGCTACAGGGACTGTGTGCCATTGCCTTCACGAAACCTCGTTCGTGGCTGAAATCACCAGCAACAAGATCTTTTCCCTGGGTCGAGAAGGAATCCTGTTTTTGTTTATTTTTTCCCAAAGGTTTGAAACACCCCGAACATAAAGGGAATTTCACAACCCCTAATCTATGAAGAAGGAGATCACTGCAGTTACAGTGCATGACCCTTTGTGAAATTAGCCAGCAACAAATCCTGAGGAACGCTGAAAATCCCAGGCTTTCCCAACTTCAAGGCAGTGCTGACTGAGTTGCGGAAGTCTTCTGTGACAACAGCCAAGCCAGAATATTCGATCTGCACTCCGTTACCTGATGGGGGCTTGGTGATCAAATCAGCTTTGATCGACCTTTGGACGATCAAGAATGAGGGGTTCAAAGACGAAGCAGTGCCTTGGCAGAATTGATCATGATTTCTTTTGTATAATCATAATCATCATAATCATCATCATCATCATCACCATGATCTTGATTGTGTCCTTCTTCATCATCATCATCATCATCATCATTATATAGTCATAGTCATAGTCAAAGTCATTGTCTAAATCATAATCATAGTTATCATCGCCATCATCATCGACATCATTATTATCATCATTATCATTTTCAGTATCATCACCACCACCACCACCACCACCACATACCACCACCATCAACAACATCATTATAATCATTATCATCATCACCATCATCGCCATGTTACAGTAAATGCAGAACTATGTCTATTTGGATCCCTGTCATGTTGCCCTGGCTTCTACTCTGTGATGTTTGGATCTTTGGTATTTGCTTCCATGCTATACTACATCAGGGTTGTCCAAATGACCCTCTTGAAAATCAAATGATGAAACCAAATTTTGAGTCCCACAAACAAAATCAAACAAACAAATGGTGGCAATCAGCTGGATTTCTTTTTCGCACACAGATCGGACTCCCCTTATTAACTATTGAGTTTTTGTTGGTTCGATCACCAAAGGGTGCTTTACAAAGATGAAGGCTTGGCCGGAGTGACAAGTTAACTGGATTTCCTCGAGATGAAACTCTATTTGCTGTAGTATTTTTGTTGAGTAAATTATGTTTTATTTGCATCCGATTGATATCAAAGAGAATAGTTTAGCCTGGTTTTCATTTGTTTTGGGCCTTATTGAAATAAAATAAATATGCGCTCCGGAGTGTGCAATTTATTTTAAACAATAGTCAAAACCATTGAATACCAGGCCACGCTATCAACTCAAATATATTATACCTCATGGAATCCTCATGGAATCCATGAAACTTCCTGTATCTTTCGATTTGTTAAACAACAGTTAAACTAAATCACGCGCTCCACAGCGCGCAATTCATTCAAATAAAGTTCAAAGCCATTTAGTACCAGCCTAAACCATTGTGGACATGAAGCCTACTTTATTCAACAAACATATTAAAATAAATTACGCGCCTCCGGAGCGCATAATTCACCATATCAAGTTCAAAGTCATTTAGTACCAGCCTAAACTATTGTCTTGTTGCGCAATTCTTCTTGAAGGCGGAACGGCGCGAACCCCATTGTTGAGTGATTCTTCTAGAACAGGGATTGGCCCGAACCCCACTGTTGAGTGATTCTTCTTGAACGGGGATTGACCCGAACCCCACTGTTGAGTGATTCTTCTTGAACGGCGATTGGCCGAACCCTACTATTGAAAGATTCTTCTTGAACGGGGATGGCCGAACCCCATTGTTTACTGGTTCTTCTTGATGGGGATTGGTCTGAACCCCACTGTTGAGTGATTCTTCTTGAACGGGGATTGGCCGAACCCCATTGTTTAGTGGCTCTTCTTGAACGGGGATTGGCCCGAACCCCACTGTTGAGTGATTCTTCTTGAACGGGGATTGGCCCGAACCCCACTGTTGAGTGATTCTTCTTGAACGGGGATTGGCCCGAACCCCACTGTTCAGTGATTCTTCTTGAACGGCAATTGGCCTGAACCCCAATGTTCAGTGATTCTTCTTGAACGGGGATTGGGCCGAACCCCGTTGTTGAGTGATACTTCTTGAACGGGGATTGGCCCGAACCCCACTGTTGAGTGATTCTTCTTGAACGGGGATTGGCCCGAACCCCACTGTTGAGTGATTCTTCTTGAACGGGGATTGGCCCGAACCCCACTGTTGAGTGATTCTTCTTGAACGGGATTGGCCCGAACCCCACTGTTGAGTGATTCTTCTTGAACGGGGATTGGCCCGAACCCCACTGTTGAGTGATTCTTCTTGAACGGGGATTGGCCCGAACCCCACTGTTGAGTGATTCTTCTTGAACGGGGATTGGCCCGAACCCCACTGTTGAGTGATTCTTCTTGAACGGGGATTGGCCCGAACCCCACTGTTGAGTGATTCTTCTTGAACGGGGATTGGCCCGAACCCCACTGTTGAGTGATTCTTCTTGAACGGGCATCCTAGGCAATGAGTGAAATCTACTCAATTAGGTAGTAGGGAAAAACCTAACCCCCTTGTTGAGTGATTCGCGTTGAACGGGTCAACAAGGGAGTGAGGAAAAACCTAACTCCCTTGTTGAGTAATTCTTGTTGAATAGGTGACATCAATTGGAACACAAAGGGCCCAACAAGGGAGTGAGATAAAACGTAACTACCCTCTTGAGTGATTCAACTTGAATCACTCAACAAGGGAGTTAGGTTTTTCCTAACTCCCTTATTGAGTGGATTTGTGTTTTGCCAAGATTCCACCGCCAATCGAAGCTGATGGCTGATCCAATCCAGCTGCGGAATCATGTGGGGACAATTCCTCCCCTAAATGCAAAACATCACCATCAACGCCAAACAGGCAATAGAAGGGAGTGGAGATGGAAGAAAATGGCGAGTCCATGTAACCACACTTAATCGTGACATTATAGTGTCTCCATTTCCCACCAACAAAAAATGATAAACAATTTGAAAAAACATACTTAGACAAGTAGATTACTGCTTTCATAAAAGTGAGCATGTACATGCCCACAGTAATGGTAGCATCAAGCTGCGGAATGAATCTGAACATATCTGAGCCCAAGGGCCCCAACAAAGATGTTGGTATATGGAGTCCGTAGCCTGATGTTAAATGGTTTTGAATGCCTTTTAAAGTAAATTACACCTTCAGTATTTGAATGTGTTGAACAAAGTACGTTTCATTTAGTTACATGGCATCAACATGCGAGACAATAGTTTAGGCTTGTAATAAACGGCATTGAACTTTATTTGAACAAATTACGCGCTCCGGAGCGCGTAATCATTCCGGAGCGCGTAATTGACTTTAGTATTTAAATGTATTGAATAAAGTACATCTTTCTTACATTGTGTCCAATAATATAGGCCCTATAGGCTGGTACTCAATGGCTTTGAACTTTATTTGAATGGATTACGCGCTCCGGAGCGTGTAATTGACTTCAGTATTTACATGTATTGAATAAAGTACATTTTTCTTACATTGGGTCAATATACGAAACAATACTATAGACTGGTACTAAATGGCTTTGAACAAATTACGCGCTCCGGAGCGCGTAATAATTACGCGCTCCGGAGCGCGTAATTGACTTCAGTAGTTACATGTGTTGAAAAAAGTGCGTTTCATTTAATTACATGGGATCAGCATACGAGACAATAGCTTAGGCTGGTACTAAATGGCTTTGAACTTTATTTGAATGGATTACGCGCTCCGGAGCGCGTGGTTGTTACGCGCTCCGGAGCGCGTCATTATTACGCGCTCCGGAGCGCGTAATTGACTTCAGTATTTACATGTGTTGAAGAAAGTACGTTTCATTTAATTACATAGGATCACCAATACGAGACAATACTATAGACTGGTACTAAATGGCTATGAACAAATTACGCGCTCCGGAGCGCGTAATTATTACGCGCTCCGGAGCGCGTAATTGACTTCAGTAGTTACATGTGTTGAAAAAAGTGCGTTTCATTTAATTACATGGGATCAGCATACGAGACAATATAGCTTAGGCTGCTACTAAATGGCTTTGAATCAGGATGGATTACGCGCTCCGGAGCGCGTAATTATTACGCGCTCCGGAGCGCGTAATTGACTTCAGTAGTTACATGTGTTGAAAAAAGTGCGTTTCATTTTAATACATGGGATCAGCATACGAGACAATAGCTTAGGCTGGTACTAAATGGCTTTGAACTTTTTTTGAATGGATTACGCGCTCCGGAGCGCGTCATTGTTACGCGCTCCGGAGCGCGTCATTATTACGCGCTCTGGAGCGCGTAATTGACTTCAATATTTAAGTGTGTTGACAAAAGTGCGTTTCATTGGGTCACTATACAAGACAATAGTTTAGGCTGCTACAGAAAAATTGAGCTAAATTCCACCAGTTAAAAGTGATTTTCTGAATGATATCAAATGGAGCTTTTGGACGACCCTGTACATTATACACTCCCCACATCTCCCCACAATCCTGCCGATTCGAGATACTGCAGAGTTGCTACTGCCAGGAACAGCTGATTCGAGATCACAACAATCGCTTCAATCCTCGTGGTGTGAAGAGGGGGGAGCCGAGCAATGCTGAGAATGAGGCACGGGAGGAGCCTGAAAGGAAACGGCTCTGCATTGAAAAGGCTATGAATCTCTCTGATGAGTCACTGCTGGAAGACAAGCTCCCCAGCACAACTTAGTATCTCATTTCAATCATGTCACCCCACATTTACATCAATTTCTTTTGGAAATCTCATTCTGTGCAATTTTCTAAACCTATGGGTCTCCATATTCAGGGTCACTTTGCCTTGTGGCACCTTCAAGCTGGTGCTGGACAAGAAGGAGGATACCCTATGGGTTGGCCCGGAGAAAACTGGGGTGCAAGTGGAAATCCCTGGTTTGACCGAACTCTTCGGATTTGGATCGGGTGACTTCGCCATGAGCACAGAAACTTGGATAGTCTTGGATAGCAAACCACACATTTTGACTTTTTGATATTACATCATCTACAATATTTTATATCTTTTATCCACCACCAGAACTAATGGGAGGAATATGATAATTGAAACTTTAAACCAAGTACAAGGAGATCAAAAATCACAAGTGTTTATCTTGTTCGATGGATATTGCGTTAATCATGGACCAAGATCAATTGGGTGGGAAATCACATCAAAAATATACTGAGTAGCAATCCCCCACTACTTGACAGGCTCTATCAAATTATTTCATGTGGCTTTCCCTGGTGTTACTGACTCGATCAGGAAGCGAAGGACATCATGAATGACACGAGCAAGTCAGGGCGCTGGGTTTCTTATCAGATTGCCTCCACTGATGAGTTTGTGATTGCAGAGGCTGACAGAAGGCTTGGTGATCACATCAAGTCCTTGAGTGTCTTCAACAAGGCCATTTTTGGGGGCATGTCCCATTCCATACAAGTTCCAATTTTGAAGTGGCAGGATTTCTTCCACCAATCAAGGAAATATCAATCCCCTTCAAACAAACAGCAGAAATACCAATTCAAATCAACATCAAATCAACCATATCTGCATGTTTGGAATGAGCCCATGGCAGGTGATCAAGATCAGTGACTTCCTCCGATCGATGGAGAATGCTGGTGAGATTGGTATCACGCTTGCACTGCATACCAGTGATGGTGCAACGCTGTCAAGCAACAAGCCTTGTTGTTTTGTCTTGGACGCACCCAAAGAGAAAACGATGCAGAAGAAGGCTGCATTTGCCAAAAACATCCAAAAACAATTTTCGAATTGATTTGTACATGGGACATTCCCACACCTTCCAAGTTTCAATCCAGATACCATAAACACTTTGTCCTACATCCCTGAAGGTGGGCGCGGCACCTACATTTGGAGCTCGCCTCAACATGGCCAAGCTTCGCAGCGCTTCGAATTTGAAAATCTGCTGGCGCGTAAAGCCACTTGTTACACTGGACTTTTTTCAAATCTCCCTATACTTAACTGATCACCCCATCCAATACTTAACAAATGATGGGTGCTGTAAATTACACCAGGAATACCCAAAGAGGATCCTCCAGTTACCCAAAACTAAAAGTCTTCCGGGTGATATCACATTGACATGTAAAATCCAAATAAATGTTCAGAAATAGTTGGGAAATAGAACCATCCACCCAGCTATCCAACAATACTTCAAGTTTGTGGGGAACAGAAATCACCAAGTCACCCAGCAAGGGAACCTACCCTCTGGGTTGTGACTTATCATACCCCTGACGCAGCATGATTCCCAATGAGGTTGCAGTCGAACGGCGAGAATAGCAAGGAGCTGGCTCCCATCCGCCCAGTGATGATCCTTCCTGGGAGCATGGCAATGGAAGCTGACAAGATGTACCGACTGATGTGATCAAGTTTCACAAGACAGGGGTGGTGCCATGTATAGCCTAATGGAATTTGCGTGGTGATCTTCGATATGATGATTCCAATCTTGGCCAACTAAGTAAAAACAAATTTGAAAACAAAATCTCCAGTGACCCTGTTTCTTCCAAAAGGGCTATGGCACACAATGCCTACCAAATGGTGGGTCTGGGTTGCTTGCCCCTGCTGGCTCTTACTGGCTGAATGTCAGTGCCATGCCAGTCCGATGGCAGGCACAATATGGGTCATTTTGAACACCAATCCTAGGTTGGTGAGTTGAAAAAAATCAGCGGTAAGCCATTAAGCATAGTTGCATAATTGCCAACAGGCCAATCAATCATGAAATCATTGAAGTCGCAAGTTGTTCACAATTCCTTGAATTTACATTTGAGTTCAAAAGGGGTGCAGTAATTTTCTAGTGCCCTGGATCTCGCCGGATCCTTTGTCACATGGCGACTCAAGTGTCATCGTCATCAGAAGATGAAGGTCCAGTTGGTGGTGCTGGCAACATGCAAATATCAAGGAAGTTCAGTGTGGCAGACTACACAGACTTGCTGAGTCAATCTGGTGCACCAGATGGTCAAGGTCAAGGTGGCCAAGCAGCCTCGTCAAGTGGCTTGGCTGTTTTTCCTTGATGTTTCAGTTCCCCTTTTCCTTGGCTCCTATACTGAGATGGCCTGATGTTTGAAAAGTGCGTTGATAATTTGCTAATTGAAAACCTTTCCCTAGTTGAACCATCATATTTGTGTTTCCGTTGCCCAGGTCCCATGCCGACACAGGGTGGACGTTCATCTGTCCCATCTTTTGGACGTGTAGCCTTGAACAGTTCCTCAGACTCACCAAAGGGTGACGAAGATCAAAAGAGCAAAAAAGACAAAAAGGCAGAAAAAGACAAAAAGGCAGAGAAAGACAAAAAGGCAGAAAAAGACAAGAGCAAGTCGAAGAAGGACAAAGAAGCGAAGACTAAGGATGAAGATAATGAGAAGAAGCGAAAGAAACAAATTGATGATGACTCTGCTGATGAACACTTCAAGGGGCTTGATGATGACGAACCTGACAACGATGGGGCTGATGGTGATGATGGCCCAACCACACTTTCCAAGAAACCAGCAGCCAAGAAACCACGACAGAAGAAGCCTGCCAAGGAACCAAAGGGTAAGGAGAAGGAGAAGAAAACCAGAGGCAAGGGCAAGAAACATACTGATGATCAGGAGAATGAAGGTGGTGAGGACAGCAGCCGGTTTGACAAGGCGCTCAATGGCATATCCCTGAGAGACATCGCAGCGATTGCAGAGACTGGCAAGGCTGACACCACAGCTTTGGAAAAAAAAGAGGACTGGGTAATACTGGGTTGTTTTGTCAAATTTTGATTCGAGCGCAATTTTTTCAGTGCAGTTTGCAGGATGACGTGGACTCCCAGAAGACCCTGCGCCTGGATGACTGCCATGACAACACCAGCGAGCAGGACTCTTATAATTTACAAACAGTAAACTTTGTTTTTGAAGGTGAGCCAACAACTGTGCCTGTAACTTTTGTTCTTTCACTTTTCAGCTTAAGCCTTGCACCCATCTGTGCCGAATCCCAATCCCAGGACCAAGCTGAGAACATCCCTGAGCCGAAGAAGCCTGAACCTGTGCTGTCTACACCTGCTCACACACCGGTGGCTACCCCATGCCGAAGTGACATCGAGACGCCCAAGGACTGGCAAAACATACTGTCAAAACATACTGTCAATTTTCCATTGAACTATTGTATTTGCACTATCTGTGTGTTTGGTGCTGTTTCATACCTTGCTTGCAGGTGGGAGTTTCTGACAATGATCGGATCATGATGGAAAAGAACCTCGCTCTTTCTGTTCGACCTGGATTCCAGGTACCCCTGAAAGTGCTTGAAAATGCACACATGAAGAAAAAAGAAAAGGAGGCAAGAGCTGCCCTTGAGAAGATGATGGATGAACAAATTTGGGGAAAGAGAAGGCAAGCAAAAGGAAGTGCCCACCAAGGAGCTGACAAGGAGATTGACAATGTCCCTGCACGTGACACTCAGGTGGACAATAAGATCAAAGAGCAGGACACCAAAGACACCAAGCTCCCTGCAGGTGATGTGCCACTTGAGATCAACAAGGAGGACGCCAAAGACACCCAGCCCCCTGCAGATGGCATGGTGCTGGAGATCAAAGAGGACAATGCGACTGACATGAAAGAAGCTGAAAGTTTGAAAGAACAGGAAGACAAAAATCAAAACAAAGAGACTTCTGACAATGCCCCTGGGGAGCACACAGAAGAGAAAGTGAGAAATGCAAAGGATGGCCCAAAGAACGCTGCACCGAAACCAAAACAGGATCGGCATGCAAAGAAAGTCTCAGCAGCAAAGGCAAAGGCAGGAAAGACAAAGGCAGCAAAGGCAAAGGCTACTGTGAAGAAAGAGCATGCCAAAGGTGAACAGATGACCAAGAAAGGGAAAGGTGAAGCAGCGGGCTCAAAGAAAACCAAGAAAGAAGAGCAAGAGTCGGAAGAGCATGAAGAAGAACTTGCAAAGAAGATCCACTGTGTGCCTCACCTGCTGTTTAGGTTCCTCCAGATCCCACACCATGTCTTTGATTTACACCTTACTTTCCAGTTTTTCACTGCATCCTGCCAAGGTATATTCAGCAGCGCAGAAAGCAGCAAAGGCAGAAGGAAAGTCGGCAGCAGATGCTTGGGAGTATGCCCAAGCAGCTCGCAAAGAGTACCTGGTCTTATTGTAGCATAGGCACATAAATCATGTTGACATAGGTGCTGCCAGTGCTGCCACTGTGTTTTCATGTCTTGTTTCATCATGTTTCATCCTTTTATCTTATATTTCCTGTCAATGTTCTTTGGTGCCCCTCATTCTCAGGTGGATCCTCAAAAATGGTCCGCGCAACAGCACTGTGGTCAAGAAGTGGCTGAACAAGTTCAATTCGTCCTAGGGATGAAGCAGTCGCTGAACGACTACACTTTAAATGGGTTCAGCAGCAGTTCAACAGTCCAAATTTCTGTTGTGCTGGTCGCTACAGCTAGGGGATGTGAACATTTCCGTGCGTGATTTGCGCGCTTTCAGGCTTGAAAAAATGGTGCCCATTACTGCTCACATTTGCTCACCTGCAACTCTTTGAATTTGAACAATGAGAATGTGTCCCAAGTACTGCAAATTCCAGCTTTGCCACCCCTGGTGCATTTGAGGCTTTCTACATTGACTTGAGCTGAGTGTCAGCGTTGCGCAGCAGTCTCTTCTGCCAGCGCCATTGCTGCGGCAGTGCAAGAAGTGAAGTGGAACTTACTATAGTCACATATGATCCATGATGGTTAACTGCAAAAATCTGTTCACTGCTGGCACCCTAAGATCTATGGTTCTCAGTATGTCTGACCTAACTGGAAGGAGCAATCACAGTCGCTTTGATGTGAGAAAGTGCCCAAACAACTAAATAATGTTCATGGGATAGGTATTATGTTTATGTTGGCAATCTTTTGGGCATGTTCAATCAATGCTTGATATATTGGGGAAACATGTCTGGTGTAAGTCCCTCAAGATATTTTCATGTGATATCATGTGATATGTTTAACACGTAACATTTTCCTCAAAAAGTAGCCATGACATGGATGCACCAGCTTGATGCAAGCAAGTGCCATGGGCACAAAACTGGAGCTGAACCTGCGACAGAAAAGAGTGCTGGAGCACCCAAGAAACAAGGACCTGATTCTAGGTGAGTAAGGTCCCAGTTACCATGCCCTGCTCTTATATATATATTATGTATTTATAATTGTAGAATATATACAATTGAAACTATATTATATACATAGAATGACTATAATGACTATATATATAATATTACTATACATATGTTGATCAAAATTCCTTTATCCAGGAACGGCCATTCTTCACAAACAAAGATTGCAGTTTTTACTTTCGCAGACTCAATGTTTATCTTCCTGGAAGCCATGTTGGTCAACCAGCCTCTGAAAAATGTCAGACTCATTCATCACCTGCCAAACATGGCCATAAATAACATGCAGCTAGCATCACTATTCATCCCTGGCAGATGGTGGCAGTTCTGGTTGCTGGTCGTGTTGGACCTTGGACCTTGAGATTCTTCCAGATTCTCCCCGTGATTCTCCGAAACTTTAAAACGCCTATCTGGGGACGGTGGTTTTTCGCCCTAGCCCTCTGAAAAATGATGGAGTGAAAGTCAGTTGGGATGATGATTCCCAATATATAATAATAATCAATTATGATGTATGGAAAGTCATTCAAAATTCCATGGTTCCAGTCACCACCAGCTATAAATCAATGACGATTTTTTGCCATGAATAGAACCCCCCAGAAATCTCGCCGAAGAATTCACCACCCTTTCCGGCGGTCCAGGCCGGGGCGCTAAGGGCAAGTAGCGCACATCATCCAGGGGTCGCGCGATCCAACTGTTGGTGTTGGAGCCATTGGGAAACTCCTCGGGCTCCGCGAGATCATGGGGGTTTGATACAGGATCGATGGGGGCTATCGAAACAGAAAGAGAAGTGATATCCATAGATGCTAACATATGCTAACTATATAATATATATATATTATACTTACTATACATATATATATATATATTATACTATACATATATATATATATTATAACTATTATATGACAATATGTTTGTGTTTGAGCGTCAAACACATGTTTCTTCGGATTGGTAGTATACTTCAAGACACAGAAAATTGAAGCCACAATCGTTTGGGGATCTCTAGTCTAAAGCAGCCAAACAAAAAGGATCGGTTCTGCACGGAAGAAACAGAGTATAACGTGTCGAGGATCCAGGTCAAGGTGTGAATGTTGAAACGTCCATTCGAGTCAGTACCTTAATTAAGAAATTACACATTTTTTGGATTGATGCACCCGCAACAGCCTCTATTCATCTCTATGGAATCATTCTACACTTGATCTTCCAAAGTCAGCAAAGTCAAGTCTGTGCTAAACCTTGGAACATCACTGGAACATCACCAAGACACGGTCTCCACCCCCACCACGGTGGGATTTCCATTCGCATCTGTGTCCATCAACACCACATCGCCCACCATGCGATCGTCGCCACAACTGTCTGGATGAGCATCCAGGAATCCTCCAGGAATCCGACGATTGACTGCTTCGGTCATGATGAAATTCATCCAAATAGAAATTGAACATCATTTGTAAATGGGGATATACTGGGAATATCATGGGATATGATATACTCTAATGATTGAAGAGTTGAAATAACTATGTTTTTTGTTTGACTGTAACGTGATTTAAGGCCACTCCATGTCATTGTGCTTGAATCCCCACACAAGGATGCAGAGAGGACATTCCAAGAAACAAAGTAGCAGTTAGTATCCAACTGGATCATATCCTGAAAGGAAGCCAGAAACTGCAGGAATATCTTGATCTTGACATGTCAAACATTGGTTCCATGGCCGGCTGGGACATGGTAGATGTGTTCACAACTTTGTTCTATATAAAACTGCCATGGACATGGCTCATTTCAATGATATCCACCCGAAAGAAAACGACGAAACCAGGGAATGGCTCCGTCAGACTTCATCACAACTTGGTCCTTGCCAACCGCCAAAGGGCTCCACGTCAGCTTTGTCAAAACCCATGTTCACCTCGCTTGGTTTCGGAAACACAAATTGGGATCAGCGTCCCAATTCTGATGTTCATCCCTCCAAAAATGCCTAGGTTTTGCACCATCCCTGCCTATTATGTATATACATCATATCAAGTCCATGACACTGTGCAAAATTAATCTGGTTACCCGATTAAATGAAACGCAGTTAAAGGGCAGCCACACCGTAGCAACACTTGGTGTCGCCAAAAAAGTTCTGCAAGAAGGGCGTGGTGTAGTTCCTATGCAGATTTTAAGGGTCTCCATGGGTCTCCCAGTCACCAGTCATCACTATCATGGCGCTCGATACGTGAGTTGAAACCCACATTTTCCACCATCTTAGACCTGGCAGGTCTCATTTTCTCTGATGGTGTTTGGTCCCAGATATCCCCAGCGTGCTCGGAAAATCCCAAATGTGTATCCTGGGGTTTTGATAAGCCTCCTCATCCTGGTAGGTCCAAATTTGCTGAAGATAGACATGCACATTTTTGCGAAAGAACTCATTAGTAGTCTTGTTCAACAACTCAAACAAAACTGATAAGCGAAAATAGATAAACAATAAAAAATAGATGCCTGAAGCCACCAATTTACAATCACAAATGAAAGTCCGAGAATCTAATGAGCAAGATTCTACCTTGGGCACAATGGAAATGGCCAAGCTTTTCAAAGTTCAGTAAGCCCACCCTGACCATCAAACCCTTAGAAACTATAAGTATACTAAGATACTAAGATATATTAAGTATATAAGTATACGCATAGTGTCAAACCCCATTTCATGAAATTGATGTTTTCCATGTTTTTTTTTCCCGGGGTATCCACAAAAAACAAGACCCCACAAGCTCCGTTGGCGGTCCTGATTTGATAGATACCATCCCAGGTAGCTACATCCACAGCCATGGTATTCAGCATGCCTTGGTGCCGCAGATCGAACATCCCAGGGATGTTCGGATAAACAACAGAATGGGGCCTCATAGTTATGTTTGTTGGCTTATAAACCATGAAACAAACCCCAACAAGTATAGATATATATATATATATATATCTACCATAAACCATGTTTTTTTTCGCCACTTATAAGGCAACTGAACGCTATCGAACGGGGGCCCCATCCTGTAGTGAGTTTCATTAGCTGGAATCTGCAGGAGATGAGTAGTTTTTCGACAAGACAATCCTGGTGAACACCCACAACAGAATGGATTAATGTGGATAAAACATCGTAAAGCAATGTCAAAAACCAGCCATATGGATTGATAAATTATACCACCATATACCACCCATTTATGGTAAACAATGAAGATGGTTTAGTCAACAAAATACTCACATTATACACATAGGTTTATCTGAACATGTGGGGTTAAACACCAATCGATGTGGAAAAATATAGGAACACAATGACTACAGTCTTTAAAAAAAAACATCAACCCTATAAAACTTATAGTTAACCAAAACATAAACCAATTTAACTAGGAGAAGCCACCTTGTTGGGTACTCAATGTGATTGCTTTCAGATCACTCACGGATGCTTTCGTAGGTGGTTTTGCCATGATTGGCGAACGCTGGCGTCACTAGAGGCGGATCCCATAGGTTCTGGTGGCCCCAGGGAATGAAAACTATCCCTGCTCCATCTATGGAGTATTTACATGTATTTACCATGACTGGGTCATTTTGGGGGTAAATGTCGGTAAATATTCCGTGCAGCATATGGGGGGGATGACTGATGATAAATATTGATTACTGATGAATGTATACTAACCAATGTGTATCAACCCGCATCATAACTATAGTTGTTTTATGACCATAGATCCTGCGCTCGTTATACGAAAAACGCACCGCAACTTCGCTACTTCGCTCGTTGGTGCCCCTCCTTGCCCCATCTTTATCGAGCCCAGATGCTGAGGCCAGCTTTCAAATGAAAGAGAATAGGATCCTAAGTGCCACCATGTGACGACCCAAACTCATGGAACTTGGGCTTTCGATAGTTTAGGAATGTATCCAGGATATGTGCAAAGCAACAGTGAAACAGCTGGAAATCGAGTTTGACAGGCTTTTCAACAAATTGCATTGAATCACTGCAAACGGACCTGCAGCCATCCACATTGGTCACTCTGTGAAGAACTTGGGTGGAATTAGGATATTTTCCTATTACAAAGTATGTGCAAAACACAACAGGACCCATAAAGAAACGAATGCGGACAACTAGAGAAATCAACCAAAATAAACACTCACAACAGCCTACTGGACTTGCTCCAAAGTAGCAGCTGTCGATTCTAGGTATGATCGTGGCCAGCTGCTGGCAGACAGCAAGTCGAGAAATTTGTTATGTTTGCTTTGAGACGCTGAAAAAAACATACGTAAGGTGTCCTGGGTTCTCAATATTGAGACAACCCAATGTTGACACCATGAAGCATCCCATTAGCGCCATATCATCTACATGGCTCAAAATTATCAAGCCTCCAAGCCTCCAAAATAGATAAATTCAGATGCTCGAAAAGGGCTTGCATTTGTGGGTCCTAAATTTGCCCAGTAGGTCACGATACCCATCTGCTGTTTGCTTGGATGCGCATTCCACTTAGTAAGTGATTTATACAGCCCATTAATAAGACCAACTGATAGGACTGCATTGGGATATTCTACATTTGACGTCATTTACTGTAAGTGCTTCATAATTGGTTACTTCATGATTTATGGTTCTGAAACCGACTTAAAGATTCGTACTTAAGTTCTCGCAGCGGCCAAGAAGCTAGGCGATGCTTCAAGCTGGATTCGACATAGAGAGGAATATTTGCCATGAATTCACCACCTCACTGCTAATCAGGAGTGAGGTCGGTGATGTGATTTTTTTTGACCATTTTGAGGGCCCTTAATTAGTTCCGTTACTGAGGGATATACGTTCATGAAAATATACGGATGTATACGAAACGTGAGGAAAAATCCAATAAACATAAGGGATGATCTACTGGTAAAAATGGGAGAGACATCAGCAAATAGGCGATATACCAGCAAACAATGGAATATAAACTTATACAGCTAGGGCCGTATCCAATGATAGACTGAAGAATTTAAGGCTCTGAAAACTCAATTTGCCAACTCATACCCTTTGGTAAACGTTTACATAACTATGGAAAGATCCACCAATTTATAGCCGGGTAAATACACTATTTCTATGGCCATGGCTTCAATAGCTATGCTGTAAATGGCCATTTTCAATAGCTTTTTGATGCTTTTTGTATGTTTAGCAGGCCGGGTAACAACATGAACATATTCACTGACATATTGATTGGGAGTATCGTCCGTGCGGAGATTCGGTATGATTCGGTGATTCTGTCCACGAAAGATAATCTGGTTGGTGGTTGTAAAAAACCTACCATTGAGGTTGGTACTGTTTTGATATTAATGGTTAATATTAATGGTTATTATATAGTTAATGTTGGTTAATAAGAATCTGGTTGCTGGTTTCAACCTACCCCTCTGAAAAATGATGGAGTTCTTCAGTTGGGATCATGAAATTCCCAATATATGGAAAAATAAAAAATGTTCCACACCACCAACCAGATAATGTATGCAATGAGCATTGAGTCTAGGATAATGTGGTATCCTATCCGGTCTGATCAAACACAGTAACCTGAAAAATCCATCCAATAAATGATATTTTCCCATGACACACATGGTATCCAATTTACATGGAGTCGAAGTACATGTGGTATTCTATCCTGGTCAAGTCAAATCCCATCCGCATATGAAACACCCCATTCTGTCATTCTGTCCCTTAAATATGTGCAAAACCACAACAACAACAACAACAACAACAACAACAGCAACAACAACAACAGCAAATAAACACACGATTTCTGGGGGCTGTTTCTCCAGAAGGGGGACGAGATTAGCGACAACTCCGAAAGAACAGTGCTTGTCTTGCAAGTCAATTGGGATAACTCTCCCCTTCTAAAATAGTTGGGTGGAACATGTAAAAAATAATACACGCACATTTAAAAGGTCATTCAGTCATTCATTGTTCTTTCCTGAATGTCCATACATAGCACAACAAACCACTTTAGCTGCATTTAATCAAAGTTCGCCGCATGGCAACCTTGACTTCTGCCTGTCATCGCATTTTTCGGGGATGGCAACCCTTTCTTCCGGACTATCAATTCTTGCTGCTGCAAGATCCATTGCAAATCTTAGATGCCTTGCAAAAAAAAAAGAAAAACTCGTTTTACTCGGGCATGATATCTTGCCCCATTTTGCTGAACATGAACCAATTCTTGTTGAGAACCACTAGTTTTACCCAGCATATATAATACTGCCACAACCGAAGGCTCTGCTTGGGGGTTTCATATTTCTCCGTGGAACTTGATCCAGATGCTTTTTGGCCCAAAACCTTCTGAGTCCTTCTGGGTTGGGAAACATGGAGAAAGAATGGGATATTGCCGATATGTTTTCGAAACTCCCAATAATGGGTGGTTAAGAACTGGATTCTCATAGGTTATGATAATTACCAATAGATGAAGTGTAGGCTAACAAAACCCCATTGCCACCTATCAAACAGAGTTTGGTCACTGCTAATGTGCACCACCATCGAACATATCAACATATGCAGCCTCTGGGCAAAAACATGTGGTTCACCATGGGACAACAAATGCCATAAACCTGCAATTGTTTTTTTCATACCATGCATTTCTGGTAAGTCCTTCCGAAACTGGGGTGCCCAAAAATTGCAACAATGATAATCATATTCCCTATTCAACTATGTCAACCGCCAACTTTTGGGCTAAAGCCCATTTTTGGAGGAAGCCAAAAGATACCCATCCATGTAAACTACCTACCCAACGCGACACTTCGCAAGCAGGACGGGACCGTGCCTGCACTCTCCAGCGAGGCTTGTGCAGTGGAATAGCTCATATACCACCCAGAGCCGGACCTCCAGGACCGCGCAGGACGGGGCGGCAGGGGCATTTTTGTTTAGCTGTAAGATTCCATGATAATCTGATACTGGTTATCTTGTAAGGCTTCCCCTAATGGATGTAAGATGGTGTAAGTAAAGGTAACACTATTGTAATGATTGATAATTAGAGGGTATAACGCCGACAATACTCTCTAACAATTGGTATTTTGGGCACTGCTCGCATGCGCTTCAGTTTTGGGGCACCAAGAGTGCTTTCTTGGAGGTACAGTTCCAAGATTTTTTTTTACCTGGATTTTTTAGTTCAAAGCATACCAGGAGAATATCTCGACTGTGGTCGTCTATATTCACCTACATGACTGGGTCATGGTAATGTGGTAAATGTTGCTACCGGATTGTGCTCCCCAGTGATGTTTGTTGGTTTATAAGCCCCATGCAAACTATAGCTATAAGTATCATTAAGTATCATACACCATAGTCATAAGTATCAGAAACCATAATTATCATAATCTAGAAATTGAAGATGGCACCTCATAGTTCTAATAAAGAAGCGTTCGTAGCTATGAAGAAGTGCTTAAGGCTCCCCATGTCTCAAAACAACCTGATGGCCTAGGGTTGAGAGCCTGTTCGCTTTTTTGTTGAGTTCTTCTTGTTGGGATCAAATGAGTCTATCCATCGTCCGGGGTTCCTTTTTCAACAAAAGGTTACCGCTAGGTCTAGGTTGTCGCTAAGGTTATCGCTATATTAGAACACCGTGATGATCAAGAAAGGAAAAGAAAAGGGAACGTGGAACAAAAAGGACAATTGAAAAAATAAAGGAAAAAGGAAGGAAAGAACGAGAAAAGGAAACGGAGGAAGAAGAAAGGACAAATTAATCAAAAGGGAAATTAAATAACATATGTAAATGAAATGCAGAATTGGATTCAATATCAATTTTGATTTACTCCAGAATTCAAAAGGGAAATAAAAGGAAAATGGAAGGAAAGACAAAGAAAGGAAACAAAGGAATTACAAAATTCAAACTCAAGTAAAGCAAATAACGGAATTTAGAATTAGATTCAAAACTATGTTTTAATTTAATTCCGAGTTTGGTTGCGTTTAGTTGAGTTTAATTCTACTGCTTTGGGACCTGGGAGAAAAAACAACTGCCTGCAGAAAGCAACGGTTCAATCATCTTGGACATTAAATGGTATGGCAACTGCAAGAAACGTGGGCAATGCAGGTTGAATTTTCTTCATCAATTTTGCCCATCGCGTGAAGGCATACAGCAATATTTGGTTGGTTTACACAAGTTTAATGCACTTTCATATGGTTGCAATTTATCTTTTCTTTGGGGGGGGGCTATCTGGTTTGGTGCACTTTCTCAACACAACCGGACCCTCCCTTACTAAAGTAGTCTACCCTTATTTTGACCGCATCTCATATATACACTGTTTATATTTATTGATGTATATATATAGGATACAGTACTATATACACTGTTTATATTTAGTAATGTTGATGTATATACGTGTATATATATATATATCATATCTAAGGTAAGGGCTAAAGTAAGGAAATCTACCCCCAAGAAAATGGCTTGACATGTACCTGACCACCATACCCACCAAAGTATCTGCATCTTGATGGGGAAACTGAACCAATAGACCCCCCTATCATTCATGGAAAAATAACCATGGTTCCCGAGCATTTCCCCGGAAAAGTAACCAAACATGTAGGTAAGTACATTGTACAGTAGCATGGATAATAGGTACATGAAGAAAATCCGATACCCTTCAGAAAAAACAAAGCGAATCCCCGAACACAATTGGAGGTTCAAAGCTGGAGCATTCTCGAAGAAACTGGTGGATTTTCCATGTTGACACCGGAAGGCAACATCCAAATATATCCAAATATATCATTGGTTAATATTTGTGATATAATTACCCATGATATCAGCATTCATCCCGATTTTGAATGGTTGTTTATTCACATGGAAACAACAAAAAAAAAACAGCGCCAAGTGACACCGCCCCAATGCACACGAGGCCTTGGCGATCGGATTATCCAAGGACCTTTTCAAGTCTCCAATCAGTAAATGTTCCATCAACTTGCTACAACATCCCACATGCCCCATAATGAAGCTGGACATAATCCCACAAAATGGGATGCGTCCCTGCTAACCATCATTCGACCAGGGTTTGGTGCAGAACTGGCCCAGAGACTTGTGGTTGGATAAACCATCTATGGTTGAACTCCAAACAGTGATTCTTCAAATCATGTCAAGTAAATCCCCGTGTTCTTCAATCACCATAGTTGTCCCCAAATCTCCTTGTTGGAATCACCAATTTTGCTAGGTAAGTATATTCTGTGGATGGTTGCGACATCCTGCACCAGTTGATATATGGTTTCTCCCATTATTTATAGGGTGTCAACATGTGTCAACCATCCGTTTGGTGGTGCAGGATTTCGCAACCATACCGGATGGCCCCCCCAGTTATAAGTTGGTTTATAACCCCATCTAAATACAATTATAAGTATCATACACTATTGTTATTATAGTTATAAACCAACTTAGCTAACGAACTGGGGCCCCATCTTGTAGGGCCTGTAGGGCTATCAAATCTCCCAGTTTTGAAACCAATTCTGGTGAGGTCCCAAGCGGCCACCGAAAATGCCCATGCAGGATTTCAGGATGGTCGAGGCATGCAACTGCGGAATCGGAATGGGCATGGAGTCGTATGCTGCTTTTTGTTCAACTCAAAAAAACATATGATTTATTACAGTTTTTTGGGTTTAAACATGGGACTGATTACTGTTTTTTGGACTTAAACATAGTATTTATTACTGTTTTTTGGACTCAAACATAGGATTTATTACTGTTTTTTGGACTTGACTTGGGTAATACATGAGGAGTTTTGGAGTCGAACCATACACAATATGCCATCACAAATCGTGTTGGCAATGGATTTGATCTGTCAAAATTGGGATTTAACATGATTTAACCATCATGATCATAATAATAAAAGATCTTATGATTTTCATGTGATTTAAGCAACGAAGTTGTACGAAGTTTCCTGGAGATTTAACGATCAGAGAATCCATATGGATGTAACCAATGGACCATGGATGCCATGGGTGTGTCCGAGTTTTTTTTGATTCATCCGCAACACACAGTGGCAATTCTAACCCATAGGATCCATGTATGGGATATATGCTAACATTGGGGGTATATTGATGGTAAATGTTACCATATATAGCATACATGGATCCTATGGGGCAATTCTAATGGGGAAATGATGGATAAATCATTGGCGATATGGGGCGAGATCGGCATTTTTTCTGACAAAGCCATGTTTTATATAAACTTTTCTTGGAGTGCACATTGCGGAGTTGGCCGATTAAATATAGTGCACAGTATATATATATATATGTTGATTGGTATATGGTTCAGTTGGGCATCTGTTTTCTTATTGGTAAACTTGCAAAGGATACCCTCTGGTAATGGTAACCACACGTTATACTGTAGAAAAACAAAAAGTTAATGCTACAAGTAGGATTTACTCGGTAAATCATCTCGAAATGAACCATTTTCCATATAGCTATGTGAGATTACCGAAGGGAAATCAATATGCTGCTTGATTGTTTGCCGGCTTCCCACAGCTTCAAATTATTCAATTTAATCCAATCGATATTGGCAAATTCATGTCAATCATACTAGTATGCATAGGTAATCTATTTATTCATATATATATATATAATACGTACATACATAACTATTATATATTATCATATAATTGTCGGCAGATATCCCAAACCAGCAGCCAACCATAAGTTTATCGGGTACACCCAAATTTGATGGTTAATAATCACTTTCCGCATTAAAATTGCGATTTTGTGGCACACCCCATTTCCAGACAAACCATTTAGTCTTGGCAAAAATCCAAGACTGCTAATTCAGCACGTTTAACGTTTGCCATGGTAGTACGTGTTTCTCTTTGGTGTTCATTATGTCGTCACATCATGAATTTGGAAATCACCAAGTAATGGTCATCAGAATTCCTATCATTGCACACCATATGGATAATTTTGGGCCTTGGAACACTACTATCCCCTTGTCAATCCCCCCAAAAAGTATGTTAAAACTGAACTAGTAGCCTTGGTACCACAACACCAAGTGCTACTATCTCCAATATTGGATAATATTGGTATTTTTTAGAACTATATATAATATGTATATATATATATAATATGTATATATATAATATGTATATATATATATATGTATATATATATATATATATGTATATATATATATACATATGTATATATACATATATGTATATATATATATACATATGTATATATATATACATCTGTATATATATATATATACTATCCTGGTACACCACTATCCCCAAAAATTACGCTATATTTGTCATAGTTGTCCATGGATCAGCGATATTTGTAGACCATCCCCTCTGCGGAGATGTCAAAGAATTAATTAAATGTAATTCTAAAATAAAATAATGTAACCGTTTATATTTATATTTATTCAATTACAATTACATATAAAAGTAAATAATATAACCTAATTTTGTATAAACAATAATATCATATAATATTGTATAACATTGTATAAGATTGCATAAGATTGTATCATATTGTATAATACTCTATATTATATAACTATAATAATATCTCATATAATAGTATATAAATTAATCTGAAATTAAGTAATATTATAAACATATAATAGAATATTAGCTATGATATTATTTATATACTATATATAATATTATTAACTTATATAATTATATACTATTTTACATTTAAATATGTTGTATACACAAGTACCACCAAGCCGTTCATAGTTAAAGCTCAACTCTTTGGGAACAAATGTTTCGCCCTTCCGTTGGTGCCTTCCCGCCATCATCGCGAAAGGTGCTTTTCTTCATCGTCATGGCGTCGCCACGTGGCGCGTCCCGGTGACGGAGACGGGGAGAGTTGGAGGACTTGGAGCTTTCAACGAAGTTGTTAGGTGGTTAGTAGATGTTGATTTTAAAAAAAAAATGCAACAGATTAAAGGATTAAACTAGTCATCCATGGTTGACCCAGATTTACCATTTTTTCAAAGTTAAACTGAATTAAACTGCTGTAAAATAGGTAGCAAATGGTGAAGACTGAATCAGTCAACGATGGTCAAATCATTGGGTACAGCAAATCATGATTTAATGCAGCAAACCATGTTTGACACCTCTGTTTTGGTGACACCATGCTGAACTTGATTCTACTGGCGAAGGCCTCTGGTTATATAACGCAACGGCGCCCCTTTAAGGGGCCATGGGAAGGGGCCGGGGTATGATATTCTTGCGAGAAGTCAATGTGTGGTTTAATGTCCATGTGCAAATATACAGAGTAACGTAAAACATATGGGTATGGATCAATACCTATTAATACCATTTTTAGGGGAATGAACATCCATTTACCAGCTATTTTGATGTGAACTACAGGGGTACAAGGTTTTGACACACTGCCATATTGTGAATATATGTAGATTCCACGCAAATATGAGGCTTCTACCCCAAGGTGATCGGTGGACCCCAAAACTGGGATTTTTCCATGTGAAAAACCTGCCATTCAGATGGTGGATCATCTCACAAACACTGGCATCCAGTGAGCTTCTAAGCCACTTATACAGGACAAGCCCACTGGATGGGGTGAACTTAGCTTTGCTTCACCAATTAAGTGGGATGAACTGGCATTCAGTGAGCTTATAAGCCACCAGTTACACCAGGGATTCACTTTGCTTTTTCACCAGTTAAGTGTGATGATACTCCTATTATATATTTTACAGCTTTTACAGCTTTTGACCCATCCCCATTGACATGTAAATTGCTGAAAGGTTGGGTCAAAGCCTGGGTGGTCCAGTTGGATCAACATACCGAAAGCACTGGGCCTGGTGTTTCAATGATATAGAGAAGAAACAACACATCTCCAATATATTGATGGTTAATGTATCGTTAATATATGGTAATAATGGTTAACACAATGTTAATAATGTTAATAATGGTTAAACATATGGTTAAACATATGGTTATTAATGTGTCACGTTTCAACAATGTTCAATCGAACAAAAAACACATCCTATCCTTAGTTTCCCCTCCGGTACATTGCCATAAATACCGAAAAAAAGAAACACTGACTGGTTGGTGGTATACCTACCCGTCTGAAAAATCATAGAGTTCGTCAATGGCTTCCGGATGACAACTCATATATGAAATGGAAAAAATGTTTGAAACCACCAATTTCCATAATATGATTACTTCTAATGTCCATGACATTTGGATTACTTCTAATAATGAAATATGAAACATTATGAAACCACCAATCAGCTGATGCCACTTCTTCCCCCTGGATTTCCATGTGCCATCCGTCGCCATCCGCCTGTCTTCCACCGCGCCGCCAACGCCGCCAACGGCGCCAACGGCGGAGGCGCGAAGGGCCTGGAAGAGGAGCATCCCTTCGGTTGGTGTAACGGTAACTCTATGGTTCTGGGGATAAATATATTGCCAATAGATATGGTACATCCAAGATCCATAGATCCATATATATATATACACATATGTATATATATATATTATACGCCCATAGTTCATCCATTCTATAAGATATCTCAAAACTAATGGGGTCCATGAACCAACTTATCCGGATAGATTATATTGATTCACCCAGTCATGGGGATTCGACCAGTGGGAATACAACGCACCAATGATGGATATGAGGCTTAGTAACATGACCAAATGTGAATGCCGCCCAAACATATGCATGGTTAAGATTTGCTCGTAGACACATGGTTCTTGCTCGTTCAGATCAGATTGGCTCTCAACAAATCCACGTGTTTGTCTTGGAGGTTGGAACCATAGCCTCCAGAAAGTTACGCACCAAAAAATGCTAGAATATATGTATGTATTATACACATAATATCCATAGCCATGGCTATAACCAACAAAACAAATGGTGATAAGCCACATTTTTGTAAAACACATTAAAAACAAACTCAAAATCATCATCACCCAAGCCCTCTAGTTTATTGGGTTGGTTGGTTGATTCCAATACGAGTTTGTCTGCACATTTAAAAGGAACCATCTGAAACCCATGGTTCAATACTTCATGTTCCCCACTATTCAATAACCACAACTAGATGGTGAATCTTTAAGTTTTCGACAACCAATTCCATCAGAGTTTCTCCAGAAAATGTACCTACCAGTATAAAACTTGCTTGGTTTTATTATCCACAACGTTCTTCCAAACAAAAATGCAAAACGTGTTGGACCATCATATCCATGATTTCTTGATCAAATCCAGGTGATTACCTGGGTTAAGAATTATTAATGGTTCAAAAAAAATGTGTGCTTAAAGCACCATGTTTCATCATGGTCCTATATTTTACTATATTTTCCATTGTTTCTTTGGACTTAAACCACCAATTCTTCCACCATTTTCCGATTTCATTCATGTCTTCGTGGGACAATACGCGCGCGCAGCATCCAGTCCCAGTCCCGCGGCCTCTTGCAGTTGCCGCTCCTCCTGCGCCTGCCACCTGGTCCCATCATGGCCGTGGGATTCCAACATAGGGCCATTTTTGGGGTTTCCAGGTACCCAATAGCTGGATGATTTATGACACGTCTATATATGAATATAAATAGATATATATGTGTGTATATATATACATAATAATATATATATATAACATTATAAGATTATACAATGATATATACATACATATAGAATCATCATATAGTATACATCTCTGTAAATGGGGGAAGTAGATCCTCAAACATGGGGGATGGCCATCCCGCAATATGGGTACATCATCGAAGCTTTGACTATGGGACATATTGGGATGGGAACGAGATCACCAGTATATAATTTAGATATGAACAACTTGGAAAACAACTGTGATTGTTTACCAGTTTTAGTCCGTGTTTTTTTTCCCACAGAATTGGGCCTAAGGGAGATTCAAGATGGGAACCCTCCTATGAAATGAAAATGGTATGTGCAGAAGGACCCAGCTCTTTGTTCAAAGCAAGTCTCACCCAGATCCATACACCTGAAATGCGAAAGAACAGTACTGTATTACCAACGTGAAGTTCAAAGAAAATAAAGAAATAACCAAACTGAATACACAGGCAAAGAAGATGCTGCTACCATCAGGCGACACGTTTGGAGCGTTGTCTCCCTGCGAGACTGCAAAGGTTTCGCCCAAAGTATGACAGCAACCCTTTATTAGCCTTCACCTTGGTTTTTCAACTACCATATGCTAAGCATCTGTCTTTGAACTACCCCATCCATATAGTAGTATCTATGGATCAACAAAATCTACAGATGTTTGAGAATAAACGGATGTTTGTCCCCAATGTCGTATGAATGTTGTTGCCGAATAGCTCCTACAATTTCTATGGACGGAGCCAAACATTGCCGTTTGTCGCTACCCCTGAACCGGTTTGACCCCAGCCATGTGTTCCCATGTGTTCAGCGTTCCAAGTTCGAACCTCAACAATTGAAACATACAGACAACATGCACTGCGATTGGATATCTTGCTGGGTAATTTTAGCAAATCACTCCATATTTGTGTTTGATCGAATCCGGGCAAGAATGCATAATGCTTGCAGTTCACTGTCTCACCTTGCAGTTCCTTCAATGTCAAGCCATGAAAACGAAGCCATGGCAATATCTTCGTCCAAGCCGCTCGGCTAAGCTGGAAGCGGCCGCCTCTGTGAGAGCTTCCTGCGAAGTCGGGTCATGGAACCAGAAATGGCAGGTCAAATGGGGGTTTCTTTGGGGGATCCCCAGGTCGCCATGGATCAAATGACGATGTCATACACTGCTCAGGGTGTGACTAACCATCCATTTTGGGGAGTTCAAAGTTCCAATTTTGGGCCATACCCTGCAAAAATTGGCGTAAATCACCAAAACAGACACTGCGGCCAGGGCCATTGCTGAGGCATCGCAGCGAAGCCTTAACGGCCCTGATGGGAAGGTTGACATTGAGGATTCACACCACTGCGTGGCCAACCAAGCAGCCCCCCCAAAAATGCAACGACCTAAATGCATGGCCAAATACGGGATGATATGTGTTTCTTTATATAAACTATCATTAAATTAAATATATGTATAATTACTTATTAATCAATTGATTAATCAACTAATTAATTAATTAATCATGTATACATATCATTAAATATTATTTATTTCTAAAAAAAAAATATCGTAAATATATGATTATCATATACACCATATTATCCATATTTACACCAACAAAAATATCACCATATTTACCACTGCCACACCTTCGAGATCAGGTCGTGGAATCCATTGGGGCGATCCGCCAGCCCGGGCGATCCTCGGAGAGTCGTTCCAAGATCTCCTCCACGACGATGCCGGAGCTCCTTGCAGCCTCCACCAGGCCTGGGCCATGGCGGCCATGGAGCTGGTGAGCTGGGAATCCATGGTGCTGCTATATATGGTGTGCCATGGATCCCATCAATATATCCCAGTCATGTTAGCAGATATACCAGCACCATGGATCCTATGGGATATAGATATCAACTAAATCAATATAAATCAATATAAATCAGGTTTTGATCCATTTTATTCCATGTTCACATTTTTTGTTTGCCTGGAGAAAATGGGAAGAGACCAGAGATTTTTTGGACAAACTGCCACTGTTCATGATTTCATGGAGAAAGAATCGGCCGCAAACGTGGAAGTCTTATGGAAGGAGACCTTTCATCCTGTCAAAGTTTTGTGGAAAAAACCAGACATGGTTGGCTGGCAAATACCCAAGAAATGGAGGTTTATAGCTAGAGAAGTCATCCAGTAAGCTATGCTTGTGGAAAAACAAATGATTCCAAAAGAATCCAAAAGAAACAACTAGGCAATGCGGGATATGTTCCAAGGATTTGTTCCAAATCAAACCAACT